ACAATACCTGCGTGGTGGGACATTGGAATTCCAGCAGCACCAGGGGGCTGGCGCACTTGACGATGTCGAAGTAGAAAAGGAAAGGTTTCTTCCTGCAAATTTTGGGGAAAACAAACAAAAAACACCAAGTTTGGGTGCCTGCCCGCCTGGGGAGAGGCGACGGGAAGCGCCCGCGTCCCTGCACCCCAGGAAAAGGGGGATGGCGGCAAGGGGATCCCCAAAACTCCCCGGATACACCCCAAAACCAGGAGCTACAAGAACGTCCCTGCAGCCAGGAGAAGGAGGATCCCCAAAAACTCCTGGATTCCCCCCAAAACCAGGAGCTACAAGAACGTCCCTAGTCCAGGAGAAGAGGGATCCCCAAAACCTCCTGGATTCCCCCCAAAACCAAGACCATCCCTGCGTCCAGGAAAAGGGGGATCCCCAAAACCCCCCAGATTCCCCCCAAAACCAGGAGCTACAAGAACCTCCCCATGTCCAGGAGAAGAAGGATCCCCAAAACCCTTCGGATTCTCCCCAAAACCAAGACCATCCCTGCATCCAGGAGAAGAGGGACCCCCCAAACCCCCTGGATTCCTCCCAAAAACTAGGAGCTACAAATGCATCCGTGTGTCCAGGAAAAGGGGGATCCCCAAAACCCCCCAGATTCCCCCCAAAACCAGGAGCTACAAGACCATCCCTGTGTCCAGGAAAAGGGGGATCCCCAAAACCCTCCAGATTCCCCCCAAAACCAGAAGCTACAAGAACCTCCCTGTGTCCAGGAGAAGGGGGATCCCCAAAACCCCCAGATTCCCCCCAAAACCAGGAGCTACGCATGCATCCCTGCACCTAGGAGAAGTGGGGTCCCCAAAAATTCCTGGATTCCCCCCAAAATGAGGAGCTACAAGAACGTCCCTGCACCCAGGAGAAGGGGGATCCCCAAAACCGCCCAGATTCCCCCCAAAACCAGGAGCTACAAACACATCCCTGTGTCCAGGAAAAGGGGGATCCCCAAAACCCCCCAGATTCCCCCCAAAACCAGGAGCTCCAAGAACATCCCTCCACCCAGGAGAAGAAGGACCGTGCAATGAGTGTGGGGGTCCCCAAAACCCCCTGGATTCCCCCCAAAACCAGGAGCTCCAAGAACATCCCTCCACCCAGGAGAAGAAGGACCGTGCAATGAGTGTGGGGGTCCCCAAAACCCCCTGGATTCCCCCCAAAACCAGGAGCTCCAAGAACATCCCTCCACCCAGGAGAAGAAGGACCGTGCAATGAGTGTGGGGGTCCCCAAAACCCCCTGGATTCCCCCCAAAACCAGGAGCTCCAAGAACATCCCTCCACCCAGGAGAAGAAGGACCGTGCAATGAGTGTGGGGGTCCCCAAAACCCCCTGGATTCCCCCCAAAACCAGGAGCTCCAAGAACATCCCTCCACCCAGGAGAAGAAGGACCGTGCAATGAGTGTGGGGGTCCCCAAAACCCCCTGGATTCCCCCCAAAACCAGGAGCTCCAAGAACATCCCTCCACCCAGGAGAAGAAGGACCGTGCAATGAGTGTGGGGGTCCCCAAAACCCCCTGGATTCCCCCCAAAACCAGGAGCTCCAAGAACATCCCTCCACCCAGGAGAAGAAGGACCGTGCAATGAGTGTGGGGGTCCCCAAAACCCCCTGGATTCCCCCCAAAACCAGGAGCTCCGAGGGCATCCCTGCAGGTGAAGGTGGACCGGTGTGGGGGGTGTGTGTGTGTGTGTGTGCGTGTCCCCAAAATCCCCCCGATTCACCCCAAAACCTACTCATTGGGGGTCCCCTGCTGCCCGCAGAACTGCCCTCGGCTGTCGGTGGGGTAGATCACCTTCCGGGGGTCTCCGTGGGTCCAGGCTGCG